GGGTTGAGCTCTGGCTCTTTGGTCCCGCCTCTCAACTGTATGTGTGTGTGTGTTTATCCTTTTGATCATGTTATGTCGCTCATGCATAACAGACGAATGAAATCAAATGTATGCCTGAGTTGGACCCCCACAGTACTGAGAGTACGCGGGTACTGGCGGCAGTACCCGCGCGGGTACTGTGCCTGGCGTCCCTGGAGCCAGCACCCGGCGGTGGATTTCCAACCATAAATTGAAAATTGGGTGCAATAGTACTCCAGGTTGCAATTGTTTAGCCATGTGGTGGTGCAGTGGATCAGAGCTCGCCTGGGAACACCCGGCACACAGGTTCGAAGCCTTATCATGGCTCCTGTTGGATTTGTTCATTACAAGTAATTACATAAATAACTTAAAATCGTGTGAGTGTTTGAGCGTCTGGACACGTGAAGGATTAATGTATATGTGAGTGTGTGTTGATGTAGGTCTGTCACTCCTGAGTCTTCACTACGGGTGAAGGGCGGCCTTGTGAAGTCACCCGAGAGGGAGACATCAACAGGGAGGGAGAGAGGGACATCAACAGGGAGGGAGAGAGGGACATCAACAGGGAGGGAGAGAGAGAGGGACATCAACAGGGAGGGAGAGAGAGAGAGGGACATCAACAGGAGAGAGAGAGGGACATCAACAGGAGGGAGAGAGGGATCACACCAGCGCCAAGAGTACTACAATTATAGCGATGTATGCAACAGCAGTGCAATTTGCATGTCATACAGTGGTGGTTGGTGGGGTCCGGTGGTGGTTGATGGGGTCCGGTGGTGGTTGGTGGGGTCCGGTGGTGGTTGGTGGGGTCCGGTGGTGGTTGGTGGGGTCCAGTGTAGACTTGTGGAGGTTGGTACTCACATAGTTGTGCTTGCGGGGGTTGAGCTCTGGCTCTTTGGTCCCGCCTCTCAACCGTCAATCAACTGGTGTACAGATTCCTGAGCCTACTGGGCTCTATCATATCTACACTTGAAACTGTGTATGGAGTCAGCCTCCACCACATCACTGCCTAATGCATTCTATTTGTTAACTACTCTGACACTGAAAAAGTTCTTTCTAACGTCCCTGTGGCTCATGTGGGTACTCAGTCTCCACCTGTGTCCCCTTGTTCGCGTCCCACCAGTGTTAAATAGTTTATCTTTATCTTTTTGGAGTGGTCTATCGTAAGAGTTTGGAAGTGGGATCCTGTGTATGCTTACGGTTTTACTCTAAGGAATTAATTGAATTAATCAATCTCTCGCTTCCCCTTCCTCTATTCACCCCCCCCATCCTTCCCTCTGTCCCTCTCCCACCTCCCCCTCCCTTCCCCTTCCACCGCCCCCCCCCTCCCTCCCTTCACCCCCTCCAAGGCATATAGAGAGGCGCGCGGGTCACTAAGCAAGCCGTGATAAAATGCAGACTGGTGTGTCTGCCTCAAAGATGACCGAGATCTCTCCTACTGCTTGTATCGTTTTTATACGACCTCCAAATATGGCTCCTACGCCTCCGAATGTGACCCCACGCTACCGAATGTGGCTGTACGCCTCTAAACACGTCCCTCCACGTTTCCAAAAGGGACCATCGCCTCCAAAAATAACCCCCACGTGTCCCAAAATCATCCCACTCCTTCACATGTGGCCCCAAGCCTGCAAAAGTGAACTATTCTCACAACTCCAAAAGAAGTATTTAGTGCTAGGAGAAAGGGAGGAGGAGGAGTGAGGAGGAAAAGGGATAGAGGCAGGAATTAAGAGATGGGAAGAGGGAAAGAGGGAGAAAAGGAAGGAGGCAGAGAGGGGAAAGAAGGAGAAAGATAAAGATAGAGAATAGAGGATGTAACAGACGAAAGAGAGAGAGAGACAGAGACGCGAGTCTATAACCTACCGAGATAGAAATTATAAACCAATATATATTAATGTATATATATTTTTAAACAAAGCCATCTATTTAAACAAAATAAGTGACCAACACAGAACACAAAGGCAAACAAAAATCAAGACTTTTTAAATTCCCGATAAGACTTTTGTGTTGCCGAGAATTCAAAAGTGGTCCGAACAACTCCTTGAAGATCAAAATCAATATGTTTTAAGAGAAAAAACTCGACGGGCAGTTAAAATCAAACTGCTTCCTTCAATCACCTGAGCCAAGTCGTTACTTACCGAGGCACTCGACTCAAGTGCCTCACAAGCTCTGAGTGTGTTTATCGAGTGTTTCGTGGGTAAACATGAGAGCAGAGAACGTGAAGGGAATGTGCTTCAGGTGGTGTGTTTTAAGTGTTCATTTTAGAGCGAGTCACTTGGTAAGTAAGTGTTGATCTTCCCAGCTGTTGCAGTGAGTTGTACCTGTGTCTTGTACCTGTGTCTTGTACCTGTGTCTTGTGCCTGTGTCTTGTACCTGTGTCTTGTACCTGTGTCTTGTACCTGTATCTTGTACCTGTGTCTTGTACCTGTGTCTTGTGCCTGTGTCTTGTGCCTGTGTCTTGTGCCTGTGTCTTGTGCCTGTGTCTTGTGCCTGTGTCTTGTGCCTGTGTCTTGTGCCTGTGTCTTGTGCCTGTGTCTTGTGCCTGTGTCTTGTGCCTGTGTCTTGTACCTGTGTCTTGTACCTGTGTCTTGTACCTGTGTCTTGTACCTGTATCTTGTACCTGTATCTTCTACCTGTGTCTTGTGCCTGTGTCTTGTACCTGTGTCTTGTACCTGTGTCTTGTACCTGTGTCTTGTGCCTGTGTCTTGTACCTGTGTCTTGTACCTGTGTCTTGTACCTGTGTCTTGTGCCTGTGTCTTGTGCCTGTGTCTTGTACCTGTGTCTTGTGCCTGTGTCTTGTGCCTGTGTCTTGTACCTGTGTCTTGTACCTGTGTCTTGTACCTGTGTCTTGTACCTGTGTCTTGTACCTGTGTCTTGTACCTGTGTCTTGTGCCTGTGTCTTGTACCTGTGTCTTGTACCTGTGTCTTGTGCCTGTGTCTTGTACCTGTGTCTTGTACCTGTGTCTTGTACCTGTGTCTTGTACCTGTGTCTTGTGCCTGTGTCTTGTACCTGTGTCTTGTACCTGTGTCTTGTACCTGTGTCTTGTACCTGTGTCTTGTGCCTGTGTCTTGTACCTGTGTCTTGTACCTGTGTCTTGTACCTGTGTCTTGTACCTGTGTCTTGTACCTGTGTCTTGTACCTGTGTCTTGTACCTGTGTCTTGTGCCTGTGTCTTGTGCCTGTGTCTTGTACCTGTGTCTTGTACCTGTGTCTTGTACCTGTGTCTTGTACCTGTGTCTTGTACCTGTGTCTTGTACCTGTGTCTTGTGCCTGTGTCTTGTACCTGTGTCTTGTACCTGTGTCTTGTACCTGTGTCTTGTACCTGTGTCTTGTACCTGTGTCTTGTACCTGTGTCTTGTGCCTGTGTCTTGTACCTGTGTCTTGTGCCTGTGTCTTGTGCCTGTGTCTTGTACCTGTGTCTTGTACCTGTGTCTTGTACCTGTGTCTTGTACCTGTGTCTTGTACCTGTGTCTTGTGCCTGTGTCTTGTACCTGTGTCTTGTACCTGTGTCTTGTACCTGTGTGTTCCCTGAAGCTTTGTGTGTACCTTTATCTCTAGTTTCACCTGCTCATTACCCCCAATTGATCTCAAATTTCAGATAAATACCGTCATCTCTACCTGTAATTGTACCTGTAAACATACCGGTACCTGTACATGTACTCATTATAAACAAATACAGCTGACATTCGTGGAGAGCTTGGGATCATTAGTTAGTGTTGTGTGAGGTAAATGGTTTCAGATACATCGCCCCCTCGCCACCACTCGACTCCCACGACCTGGGGCCAGATTCATGAAAGCACTTACGCAAGCACTTACGCAAGCACTTACGCAAGCACTTACGAAAGTGTACATCTTTCCTCAATCTTTGACGGCTTTGGTTACATTTATTAAACAGTTTACAAGCATGAAAACTTCCCATTCGACTGTTGTTATTGTTATAAACAGCCTCCTGGTGCTTCGGAGCTCATTAACTGTTTAATAATTGGAAACAAAGCCGCCAAAGATTGAGAAAAGATGTACAGGTTCGTAAGTGTTTGCGTAAGTGCTTTCGTGAATCTGACCTCTTGTCTTGTGTAGGTGAGTGAAGGGAGGGGTACAGGTGAAGGGAGGGGTACAGGTGAAGGGAGGGGTACAGGTGAAGGGAGGGATACAGGTGAGGGGAGGGGTACAGGTGAGGGGAGGGGTACAGGTGAGGGAGGGGTACAGGTGAGGGGAGGGGTACAGGTGAGGGGAGGGGTACAGGTGAGGGGAGGGGTACAGGTGAGGGGAGGGGTACAGGTGAGGGGAGGGGTACAGGTGAAGGGAGGGGTACAGGTGAAGGGAGGGGTACAGGTGAGGGGAGGGGTACAGGTGAGGGGAGGGGTACAGGTGAAGGGAGGGGTACAGGTGAAGGGAGGGGTACAGGTGAAGGGAGGGGTACAGGTGAAGGGAGGGGTACAGGTGAGGGGAGGGGTACAGGTGAAGGGAGAGGGGTAAACTTTATATTAACACACATTTCACATTTAATAAGCACAGGTTTAATCATCGTTCTATGTGTTAATTGTGAATGAATATGCAGCTAACGTCCGTGTATGCGCGCACGCGCTTACATAAGGTATCACCAGAATAATATAGAAACATATAAAGACACAGAGCGTCACCAGCCATGAGACAACTGAGCATCGAACCCAGACAAGACATAATCACGGAACCTATAACCAAAACATCCTTATGGCCGGTGGCTATATCACTAGAGGGTGATATAGCCCAACCACCACCTATCCCTTCACGATGGTGCTTACCCTCTACTCTCTAGCCCCTCTACTCTCTCCCCCATCTCCCCCCCTCACCACGCCCTCACCCCTTCCTCCCTCCCCTCTCACATCTGTGTTTACACCCCACATTAGAATTAATAAGAAGAGGCGTTAATCCTGCCGTAAATCAGGCCGGGAAGCTGAGGGGAACAATAAGGGCTAATTATATACCAGGTGCCCCTTCCCCCTTCCCCTTAGTCAAGCAGGGTAACCTAGCACTCTTGAAGGTGTTGTGGACGCTGGGGCACTGTTGTGGACGCTGGGGCACTGTTGTGGACGCTGGGGCACTGTTGTGGACGCTGGGGCACTGTTGTGGACGCTGGGGCACTGTTGTGGACGCTGTAGGCACTGTTGTGGACGCTGGGGCACTGTTGTGGACGCTGGGGCACTGTTGTGGACGCTGGGGCACTGTTGTGGACGCTGGGGCACTGTTGTGGACGCTGGGGCACTGTTGTGGACGCTAGGGCACTGTTGTGGACGCTGTAGGCACTGTTGTGGACGCTGGGGCACTGTTGTGGACGCTGGGGCACTGTTGTGGACGCTGTAGGCACTGTTGTGAACGCTGTAGGCACTGTTGTGGACGCTGTAGGTACTGTTGTGGACGCTGGGGCACTGTTGTGGACGCTGGGGCACTGTTGTGGACGCTGGGGCACTGTTGTGGACGCTGTAGGCACTGTTGTGGACGCTGGGGCACTGTTGTGGACGCTGGGGCACTGTTGTGGACGCTGTAGGCACTGTTGTGGACGCTGTAGGCACTGTTGTGGACGCTGGGGCACTGTTGTGGACGCTGTAGGCACTGTTGTGGACGCTGGGGCACTGTTGTGGACGCTGTAGGTACTGTTGTGGACGCTGTAGGCACTGTTGTGGACGCTGTAGGTACTGTTGTGGACGCTGTAGGCACTGTTGTGGACGCTGTAGGTACTGTTGTGGACGCTGTAGGTACTGTTGTGGACGCTGTAGGTACTGTTGTGGACGCTGTAGGTACTGTTGTGGACGCTGTAGGTACTGTTGTGGACGCTGTAGGCACTGTTGTGGACGCTGTAGGTACTGTTGTGGACGCTGTAGGTACTGTTGTGGACGCTGTAGGTACTGTTGTGGACGCTGTAGGTACTGTTGTGGACGCTGTAGGTACTGTTGTGGACGCTGTAGGCACTGTTGTGGACGCTATAGGCACTGTTAGAATTAAATTTAATAATAGAAGAATGTGTTTAAACTTACATATAACGACGCAGTAAGCCAGGTTGGGTGAGTGCCCCTCAAGAGCTGCCAGTACTCACTATTCATGACCTGACTTGACCTGGAATTACCCGAGAGTGCCTCTAGAGTCCAGGCGAGGCTGCGGGAGGTGGTCCTGAGGTAATACGACTGTATATGTACCCTTCAGTGTCTTCGCAGAGCCTAGGGGACCTTCTTAAGTCTTACGGGCGGTCGCTAAGTCTTAGAAAGAGCTTTTGTCCCTGGTGCTAAGTCCTAACTAAGTCCTAATTAAGGCCAACTGGCACTATACATCGAACAACAGTGAATACAGCTGTATTTCTTGTATTCTTTGATACATACACAGTCCTCGCGGTTGAGTGGAGAGCGCTCGGGAGTTGTAGTAAGGGTCCGGGTTCGATTCCCGCCCGTGGCGGAAACAAATGGCCAGAGTTTCATTCACCTTGATGCCCCTGTTCACCTAGCAGTAAATAGGTACCTGGGAGTTAGACAGCTGCTACGGGCTGCTTCCTGTAGATGTGTGTGTGTGCGAGCGCTTGTGTTTGAGCTATAATAGATTAGATATAATAGAGGAAAAAATAGATTGGTTAGAAAGGCAGAGTCCAAGACCTAAAAGCTCGGTTTTGCAGACATAGTAATTAGACAGAAACTACCTGTGATGCTCAATGGTCGTAGACATCTGTTAGCGCCCTTCACCTCGACTCTTAACACTGAACTTACCTGTAAAAACAACAAATTGCAGTGTTAGTACAGGTGTATTAAAGAATAATAATAATAATAATAATAAAATTTGCTAGGATTATAAGGAGGACGCGAACTTTGCCACTCTACTACTAATAATTGGCTAGTACTCTACCACTAGTACTTGGTAGTACTAGTGGTACGTACGTACCACTAGTGTACGTAAGGTACGTACATACCACTAGTGTACGTAGGTACGTACATACCACTAGTGTACGTAGGTACGTACATACCACTAGTGTACGTAGGTACGTACATACCACTAGTGTACGTAGGTACGTACATACCACTAGTGTACGTAGGTACGTACATACCACTAGTGTACGTAGGTACGTACATACCACTAGTGTACGTAGGTACGTACATACCACTAGTGTACGTAGGTACGTACATACCACTAGTGTACGTAGGTACGTACATACCACTAGTGTACGTAGGTACGTACATACCACTAGTGTACGTAGGTACGTACACTAGTACGCGACTGGCAAAGTCGCGTACTGGTAGAATGTCTACTGGTAGATTACGCGTCTACCTCATAGCTCTTGTACATTTTCTCATTAACATATATGACGATAATAATATTTCTGTGTGATAACTAATAATAACAGGGTCACATTACTAATAATAATATACCGATATTAATATTTAGTAAAGTAGACATGACACTGGTTCAGTATTCCAGGGCATAAAGGACATGTGTAATGACAGCTGTTTTCTCTTAATTTCAGGTTAGTAAGAATGATGTGTGCAGGTGATGTGGGGACAGGTGTCATCTCGCTTCTGGCGGTCACAGCCTAATGGATCAGGTATGGTACTGAAAGTATTGATCATCGTGCGTGTAGTAATAGACAGGTTGATTAAGTGGACTTTCAGTGGGATAAAGTGTACTAACTTTATAGACGAAAAATCAATGATACTTTTAATTGTTCAACTTATATAGAAGGGTATCTTGAGATGATTTCGGGGCGCACATGTTGACCCCCGCACGTGGTGACCCCCGCACGTGGTGACCCCCGCACGTGGTGACCCCCGCACGTGTTGACCCCCGCACGTGTTGACCCGCCCACGTGTTGACCCCCGCACGTGGTGACCCCCGCACGTGTTGACCCCCGCACGTGTTGACTCACTCGTGATTGACGTTGTCGATCGGGTTTTCTGCTGTTAAATTTACAGTTAAGTTTGGTTACTTTTAACCTAACCTAACCTAACTGGGTTGGTTAGATTAGCTTAAAGAAATTAAGCTAGTTAAGATAAGTTGCGCTAGGTTAAGTTAAATAGGTTAGGCTTGATTAGCTTATGTTAGTTTAAACAGGTTTAGGATACTTTAAAGGAATTCGACATGCTTAGGTTAGATTAGAGAGCAACTTACCTTGACTCAAGGTTGAACTCAAGTTACAAGAAACTCAAGAAATTCAAGAGCAACAAGTAAGTTGCTCAACTTACCTTGAGAGCAACTTGAGAGTAAATTACAAATACTAAACACCAACAGTCAGGAGACAGTTCATTCCCGCTAGGAGGGGGGGAAGAGGGAGGGGTTAGGAGGAGAGAATCCTAATAAACAATTAATAATTCTAACAATAACTGCTGGCATCTTAAAGGTTTATTAGCCCTGATGAACCCCAGGCTTGCTTTTCCTCCCCCAGACAATTTACGAGAGGCAAGATAAGAACTAAGTGGGAGCAGAAAGGACGCTAACGACCCTACTAACCACCATCTCGTCAGCCATAACTGCAGCTCTAAGTTAACAAAGCACTGATCTCTTCCTTGTAATTTGTGCTTTACCCCAAAGTTATTGGAGCATGGGGAGGCTCCCTTTTAGACCAATTTACACACATGAACGTTGTTGGAGCATGTAACTGTACCACGTGGGGGGTTGTTTAGGGGGGGGGGAGAGAGAGAGAGGGTGAGAGAGTGAGAGAGTGTGAGAGTGAGAGTGAGAGAGGGTGAGAGAGAGTGAGAGAGGGTGAGAGAGAGTGAGTGTGTGTGTGAGAGTGAGAGTGTGTGAGAGTGAGAGTGTGTGAGAGAGAGAGGGTGAGAGAGTGAGAGAGTGTGTGAGTGTGTGAGAATGTGAGAGTGAGAGTGAGAGAGGGTGAGAGAGAGTGAGAGAGAGAGAGAGTGTGTGTGAGAGTGTGTGAGAGAGAGTGTGAGAGTGTGTGTAAGAGTCAGAGAGAGAGAGAGAGAGATAACGGGAAAGGGAGGAGAAAGCTCTATAGACCTATAATATACACCTGGAAGATACTGGAGGGCCAAGTACCAAATCTACACAGTAAAATAACAACGTACTGGAGTGAACGACATGGAAGAAAATGTAGAATAGAACCAATGAAGAGCAGAGGTGCCATAGGCACAATCAGAGAACACTGTATAAACATCAGAGGTCCGCGGTTGTTCAACGTTCTCCCAGCAAGCATAAGAAATATTGCCGGAACAACCGTGGACATTTTCAAGAGGAAACTAGGGTTATTCCTCCAAGGAGTGCCGGACCAACCGGGCTGTGGTGGGTATGTGGGCCTGCGGGCCGCTCCAAGCAACAGCCTGGTGGACCAAACTCTCACAAGTCGAGCCTGGCCTCGGGCCGGGCTTGGGGAGTAGAAGAACTCCCAGAACCCCATCAACCAGGTATCAACCAGGTATCAACCAGACCTGTTAACAGAAGTTAGAAGCCACGTACATCTGTACCCACCTGTTAAATACTGAGATACAGACAGACACACACAGATAAACACAAAAGCTACCATACGTGTATGATACCAAAGTAACTCTACAGAAGACTGATCAACGCTAAGATGCTAACTAACAACATTCCCACACAAGGTGCTCACAGGAGCGTGCTCAGGTGGTCATACGGAACACGTTTGGCAGGCATTTTGACCCATCAACAACAGCCTTGTCAACTTTCCCTTGAATCATCAGTGACCAGGAAGGCGCCATTAATAGTCACTACACGTGGCTGTATGTGCTCCTTCTCGGTATATTAGAGTTTCTGGAGGGCGACACGGACTCTATAAAGGTTACCTTGAGGTGCTTCCGGGGCTTAGTGTCCCCGCGGCCCGGTCTTCGACCAGGCCTCCACCCCTAGGAAGCAGCCCGTGACAGCTGACTAACACCCAGGTACCTATTTTACTGCTAGGTAATAGCAGGGGGCATAGGATGAAAGAAACTCTGCACATAGTTTCTCGCCGGCGCCTGGGATCGAACCCAGGACCACAGGATCACAAGTCCAGCGTGCTGTCCGCTCGGCCGACCGACCGGCTCCCTACTTACTTACAAACTTTACATAACGTTTGGATTTAATTGTTGCATTCACGGAATGTGGTTTGAATTGTGAAGTTCAATTTCTTTATTATGCACCCCATACCCATGCCGTGGGCGGTGGTGTAAAGGATTACAGAGGCACATAATCGGTTCAGGAACTGAACCCTTCTAGTTCGCTTACCTAAGCAAATAACAATCTTTTGACGCTAATTACAAAATTTTAGGTTTGTTTAGGTCAAGTTAGGTTTGTTGCTGAACAGGTTAATGGGATTACTTGCAATGTTTGTATTCTGCTGTACCGGGTAGTGAACCATACCTCTCCGCTCCTGCTGTACCGGGTAGTGAACCATACCTCTCCGCTCCTGCAGTACCGGGTAGTGAACCATACCTCTCCGCTCCTGCTGTGGCAGCCATTAGAATGCCAGTGGTTCCTCTCGCCAGATTTTAAGGCAATCCATCATCTGAGAGCGTCTTAATTGTCCAGTTGGGCCGGTACCCCTTACATCCTTGAGTGGTGGCCTGGCCCGTCCCATCGTGAGGGTACTGGTAGCACCGTGAGGGTACTGGTAGCACCATGAGGGTACTGGTAGCACTGTGAGGGGTACTGGTAGCACCATGAGGGTACTGGTAGTACTGTGAGGGTACTGGTAGTACTGTGAGGGTACTGGTAGCACCATGAGGGGTACTGGTAGTACTGTGAGGGGTAGTGGTAGTACTGTGAGGGGTACTGGTAGCACCATGAGGGTACTGGTAGCACCATGAGGGTACTGGTAGCACCATGAGGGTACTGGTAGCACCATGAGGGTACTGGTAGCACCATGAGGGTACTGGTAGCACTGTGAGGGGTACTGGTAGCACCATGAGGGTACTGGTAGCACCATGAGGGTACTGGTAGCACTGTGAGGGGTACTGGTAGCACCATGAGGGTACTGGTAGTACTGTGAGGGTACTGGTAGTACTGTGAGGGTACTGGTAGTACTGTGAGGGTACTGGTAGTACTGTGAGGGTACTGGTAGCACCATGAGGGGTACTGGTAGTACTGTGAGGGGTACTGGTAGTACTGTGAGGGGTACTGGTAGCACCATGAGGGTACTGGTAGCACCATGAGGGTACTGGTAGCACCATGAGGGCACTGGTAGCACCATGAGGGTACTGGTAGCACCATGAGGGTACTGTTAGTACTGTGAGGGTACTGGTAGTACTGTGAGGGTACTGGGAGCACCATGAGGGTACTGGTAGTACTGTGAGGGGTACTGGTAGCACTGTGAGGGGTACTGGTAGCACCATGAGGGTACTGGTAACACCATGAGGGTACTGGTAGCACTGTGAGGGTACTGGTAGCACTGTGAGGGGTACTGGTAGCACCATGAGGGTACTGGTAGCACCATGAGGGTACTGGTAGCACCATGAGGGTACTGGTAGCACTGTGAGGGGTACTGGTAGCACCATGAGGGTACTGGTAGCACCATGAGGGTACTGGTAGCACTGTGAGGGGTATTAGTAGCACCATGAGGGTACTGGTAGTACTGTGAGGGTACTGGTAGTACTGTGAGGGGTACTGGTAGCACCATGAGGGTACTGGTAGCACTGTGAGGGGTACTGGTAGCACCATGAGGGTACTGGTAGCACCATGAGGGTACTGGTAGCACCATGAGGGTACTGGTAGCACCATGAGGGTACTGGTAGCACCATGAGGGTACTGGTAGTACTGTGAGGGTACTGGTAGTACTGTGAGGGGTACTGGTAGCACCATGAGGGTACTGGTAGCACCGTGAGGGGTACTGGTAGCACCATGAGGGTACTGGTAGCACCATGAGGGTACCATGAGGGTACTGGTAGCACCATGAGGGTACTGGTAGCACCATGAGGGTACTGAGGGGGTAGGGTACTGGTAGTACTGTGAGGGTACTGGTAGTACTGTGAGGGTACTGGTAGCACCATAGCACCATGACGGTACTGGTAGCACCATGAGGGTACTGGTAGCACCATGAGGGTACTGGTAGCACCATGAGGGTACTGGTAGCACCATGAGGGTACTGGTAGTACTGTGAGGGTACTGGTAGTACTACTGGTAGCACCATGAGGGTACTGGTAGCACCGTGAGGGGTACTGGTAGCACCATGAGGGTACTGGTAGCACCATGAGGGTACTGGTAGCACCATGAGGGTACTGGTAGCACCATGAGGGTACTGGTAGCACTGTGAGGGGTACTGGTAGCACCATGAGGGTACTGGTAGCACCATGAGGGTACTGGTAGCACCATGAGGGTACTGGTAGCACCATGAGGGTACTGGTAGCACCATGAGGGTACTGGTAGCACCATGAGGGTACTGGTAGTGAGGGTACTGGTAGTACCATGAGGGTACTGGTAGCACCATGAGGGTACTGGTAGCACCATGAGGGTACTGGTAGCACCATGAGGGTACTGGTAGCACCATGAGGGTACTGGTATCACCATGAGGGTACTGGTAGCACCATGAGGGGTACTGGTAGCACCATGAGGGTACTGGTAGCACCATGAGGGTACTGGTAGTACCATGAGGGTACTGGTAGCACCATGAGGGTACTGGTAGCACCATGAGGGGTACTGGTAGCACCATGATAGTACTGGTAGCACCGTGAGGGTACTGGTAGCACCGTGAGGGGTACTGGTAGCACCATGAGGGGCACTGGTAGCACCGTGAGGGTACTGGTAGCACCGTGAGGGGTACTGGTAGCACCATGAGGGGCACTGGTAGCACCGTGAGGGGTACTGGTAGCACCATGAGGGCACTGGTAGCACCGTGAGGGTACTGGTAGCACCGTGAGGGTACTGGTAGCACCGTGAGGGGTACTGGTAGCACCATGAGGGGCACTGGTAGCACCGTGAGGGGTACTGGTAGCACCATGAGGGGCACTGGTAGCACCGTGAGGGTACTGGTAGCACCGTGAGGGGTACTGGTAGCACCATGAGGGGCACTGGTAGCACCGTGAGGGTACTGGTAGCACCGTGAGGGTACTGGTAGCACCATGAGGGGCACTGGTAGCACCGTGAGGGTACTGGTAGCAGGTCTTCCCGGGTACCAGATACCAACGTCCCAAGTATGGACATACAGCCACTCATCAGCTGTCGACCGTCGAACTGCAGAAAGTAGCTTCTGTTATTTTGTTATCGTTTGTTATCATATTTGGTGGAAGTTTTCGCTGGTTGGGTTGTTAATGGCGTTGTTTAGCATTGTTTAGCGGTTAAGTGCTTGTTTACCTCTCTGTGGAACCACTGGTTACCGGGGATTGATGTGATGTTTACTCTCCTTGTTGTCTGATGACACACGCACGAGCACACACACACACACACACACACACACACACACACACACACACACACACACACACACACACACACACACACACACACACACACACACCTCTCTCTCTCTCTCTCTCTCTCTCTCTCTCTCTCTCTCTCTCTCTCTCTCTCTCTCTCTCTCTCTCTCTCTCTCTCTCTCTCTCTCTCTCTCTCTCTCTCTCTCTCTCTCTCTCTCTCTCTCTCTCTGACCTGACCAAACCCTACCCTCACACCGCTAAAACCTGGTGTAGTGTGGCCCTTATGCCAGGAGTGGAGAGGGTCCATAATACCGTGCCAGGCAGCCTTCACATACGCAACTAGACAGGATCTTGAAACTGGACTTACTTACTCTCAAGCTCCTGTTTACATTGACTTCTTTGTGTATTCCTGTGCATGGTTGGCTTCATGTGGTGGAGGAGTTTGACGCTCATGGTGCAATTTGGCTTCACCTTTCTCTTGCGGTGACTGGAGTAGTAAGTGGTAGTTAAGACGCTTGTCTTAGCTACATAATGAGATGTGGAGAGGTTGTGTTGTATGTAAAGTGTGTGTGGTGGTGGTGGTGGTGGTTGTGGTACTGGTGGTGGTGGGGGGGTTGTGGTACTGGTGGGGGTGATAGTGGTAGTGGTAGGAGCAGTTATACCGGTGATAAGTGTAGTCATTATCTGCAGTGAACGACCATAGCTTCTTGTGATTGGTTGATGGCTGGCAGTATTTAAGTGCCAGTGTCTCTTGTTTGTGATTGGTTATGTAGTCCCCCTGTAACATATTCTCTAGCAACCTTACACATGGAATGCGGAAGCTGTGTGTATGTGTGTGTATTCACCTAGTTGAATTCACCTAGTTGTGTTTGTGGGGGTTGAGCTCTGCTCTTTCGGCCCGTCTCTCAACTGTCAATCAACTGTTTACTAACTACGTGTGTGTGTGTGTGTGTGTGTGTGTGTGTGTGTGTGTGTGTGTGTGTGTGTGTGTGTGTGTGTGTGTGTGTGTGTACTCCCAAGGAATATTTTCATTTCTAATAACCAACTCAGTACTTGTTCCCATTCCCTTGATCTAGCCAGCTGTGATGGCTGGCCAGGTGAGCCACACATCTCACACTCTCACTTGTCATACAAAACTGGTTAGCTGACAACGCTTTGTAATTTTGGTGGTGGCGGAAAGTGTTTAATAAATCATAGCTCAAAAGATGACACGTTAATTTTTAATGAACAGCAGCATGTTAAAAAATGATGAATACGTCTTTGGGGTCGGCCGCTGGATGGAATGAATATCCTGAGGCCGGGTAGATTGACACCTTGAAGAGATAGGTGTAATCGAGACCAACTTGTCCGTATCTGTGCAGGAATGTTGGCATCGTAACGTCAGATTCATCTAACAGATCTGCAGCCTCAACTCAAACTCTTTAACTGATCATTCATCTTTTAAAAAGACTTTTGTTCAACCTGTTGAACTACAATTAGCAGTTTTAAGTAGTCCTCTCTCTGTCTCTCTCTCTCTCTCTCTCTCTCTCTCTCTCTCTCTCTCTCTCTCTCTCTCTCTCTCTCTCTCTCTCTCTCTCTCTCTCTCTCTCTCTCTCTCTCTCTCTCTCTCTCTCTCTCTCTCTGGACATGATTTATTACCTGCTGCTTCAGTACGGGGGGACATTTTTCAATTACCTGGGTGTAGAGCTTCCACCTGGGCAGTCATAATGACAGTGCCCCGGGCAGGAAATTGGACGTCTACCAGGACACAAATCATCATGCGATTTGATGGTGCCTCGGGTCCTATGGGTGGAGAGAGTCAGAGACACAGGGGAAGACACAGGGGGAAGACACAGGGGGAGACACAGGTGGATACACAGGGGGAGATACAGGGGGAAGACACAGGAAGGAGACACAGGTGAAGACACAGGGGGAAGACACAGGAGGAGACACAGGAGGAGACACAGGTGAAGACACAGGGAGGAGACACAGGTGGAGACACAGGGAGGAGACTCAGGTGGAGACACAGGAAGGAGACACAGGTGAAGACACAGGGGGAAGACACAGGAGGAGACACAGGAGGAGACACAGGTGAAGACACAGGGGGAAGACGCAGGAGGAGACACAGGTGAAGACACAGGAGGAGACACAGGAGGAGACACAGGGAGGAGACACAGGAGGAGACACAGGAGGAGACACAGGGAGGAGACACAGGTGGAGACACAGGGGAAGACACAGGTGGAGACACAGGGAGGAGACACAGGGACAATTAAGAGATCGAGATGATAATTTTAAGTAAGAAATAGTTGAGATTAAACACGACCAACAGACAAGAGATCTCTCATCCCCCAGCAACCAGCAACAGACGAAGCCGCCTGAATCAATTTCTGATGTTCTTGCCCTGCCTCGCGAGCCTGGAAGCTCATCACGTACGGACCTGACCTCAATCCCCCACACCCGCCTTCCAAGACATCAACGAAAAAATTCCCTCCAACTGTAACTTTTCTCTGATCTTCCGTCTCTACTCTCCATAATTCCTCTGAATTTTTGGTCAATTCTGCAAGCACTCTGCAAACAAAATTGGATTTGCGATCTTTTTAATTTAAATGTTAAAGATTAGAAGGAGATTCTAAGTTGAGTTTAAGATTTGTTAGTCTCGCACTCTGACATTACTAGGTTGGTTAGAGTTATTGACATTTGTATAGTGTTTAGGATTTCCTGGGGGTGGAGGCCTGGTCGAGGACCGGGCCGCGGGGACACTAAAGCCCCGAAATCATCTCAAGATAACCTCAAGATAACCACTTGCTGACCGCTCGTACATGGTATTAATACATATTTCTGACTCGTATGTGATTCCAGCTTTCACCTGTGTCCTTTTGACCTATTTTCTCTCTCACTTTAAACACGCTGTCCTTGTCCACCTTCTCTATTTTCCTCAGTATCTTGTATGTAGTGATCATATTACATTTTCTCGTTCTCTACTTCATGCGAGAAACACTACATTAATTAAAAACACAGGCAGTCAACAGTCACATTATTCACAGACATTAGGGTATAAGAAGGGAGAACTTGTTATACAGTGAACAAGTACCACAGTATAGCAACTATTAGCTTATTCACTCACCCGAGGCTTTACTCACTCACCCGAGGCATTATTCACTCACCCGAGGCATTATTCACTCACCCGAGGCATTATTCACTCACCCGAGGCATTATTCACTCACCCGAGGCATTATTCACTCACCTGTCATTATATTCAGGTAATCGAATTCTCATTCATAGCACTGACAGTACATTTATTCTTTCCATAAATCAGATGACATGGTGATCTCTCTCTCTCTCTCTCTCTCTCTCTCTCTCTCTCCTCTGTCTGTCTGTCTGTCTGTCTGTCTCTCTCTCTCTCTCTCTCTCTCTCTGTCTGTCTGTCTCTCTGTCTGTCTCTGTCTCTCTCTCTCTCTCTCTCTCTCTCTCTCTCTCTCTCTCTCTCTCTCTCTCTCTCTCTCTCTCTCTCTCTCTCTGTCTGTCTGTCTGTCTGTCTGTCTGTCTCTCTCTCTCTCTCTCTCTCTCTCTCTCTCTCTCTCTCTCTCTCTCTCTCTCTCTCTCTCTCTCTCTCTCTCTCTCTCTCTCTCTCTCTCTCTCTCTCCTCTCTCTCTCTCTCTCTCTTACTCACACTATCTCACTCACACACACACACACACACACACCACACACACACACACACACACACACACACACACACACACACACACACACACACACACACACACACACACACACACACACACACACACACACACACACACACACACACACACACACCACGCATTAATCTGGGGGGCTGGCTGACCGGAGAGGACATGCCTTGCGCCTGAGTGCACACGCAGCATTATGCATGAAATGTTCATTGTGTAGAGGGAGAGTGCAAGCTGTAAAGGTTATAAGAACTCCTTACCCACAAATGTAATGAAATTTATAGGAGGGAAATGTCTGCTATTGTGGCTGCGAGTTATGTAGGGTTAGGTGCGTGCGTGCGTGCGTGCGTGTGTATTGACCTGGTTCACCTAGTTGTGCTGGCGGGGGTTGAGCTCTGGCTCTTTGGTCCCGCCTCTCAACTGTCAATCAATCAACTGTATCTAACTACTAACTATTTTCACACACACCCGTTCTCACACTTGCTTACAGTCAATATTGGCTTATTTAATAAGTGCATATGTGACATACTAATTGATTGTGAGTATTTTAGTTTACCTTGAAAAGCTTCATAGAAAACACCGACCTCACCTAACCTTCTTAGTATGTTAAGATAAGCATCTTATTGCTCCCTAATTACAATTATTACTTAACCTATACCATTCAACCTCCCAGGAACCTATTTACTGCTAGGTAACAGAGGCATCAGGGTGAAAGACACTGCCCATCTGTTTCCGCCGGCGCCGGGAATCGAACCCCCAAACCACAGGATTACGTATCCAGCGTGTTGTCCACTCAGCCATCTTGCACCTGTTGCATGGCACTCAACATTGCCTTACAGAAGTGCCTCACTCGATTGATGAAGATTAAGCCACCCAAGAGGTGGCACGGGCATGAATAGCCCGTAACCCCTGCTGCCTCACTCGCCCTACGGGGTATTTATACACTATAAATTTACGAATTGCCTTGCGCAGGTGATTATTAAATGGCCAATTGTGCCTGTTAGGCACTTGTAAATCTGCGAGAGGGCCTTTTTCACCTGGTTGTAAATTAGGGAATTGCCGTGGCGGGAGTTTAAGTGCTTGGGGGGCGAGGGTAAATCTGGAGTGTGTCCCTGGTGAGTGTGAGTGTGAGTGTATTTAGCCTGGCAAATGTTGGCCATTATATCCAGGCTACAGCTAGACGAACTACCTTGTTTCCAGGTCAGGTATTTGGTCCAGGTGTTCTGCCTGGAACGTGTTTAATGTTCAGGTTGTTGATGTGGAGACTTGGGGGGGGGGAGGGGTGAGGGAGATGGGGGGAGGGGGGGTGAGGGAGGGGGTGGGGGTGAGGGAGGGGTGGGGGGGTGTGAGGGAGGGGGAGGGAGGGTGGTGAGGAAGCCCGTAGGAGTAGATAGATAACCCGAGCAACCCGATAGATATTACCTCTTCATCACAATCGACTTGAGAATGGTCCAGGACAGACCGAAACGTCGTCGTCCCTTCAACTTCTAGTGTGTGGTCTGGTCAAAATACTTCAGCCACGTTATTGTGACTCATCGCCTGCATAACCCGAGCTGTCTAACTCGCAGGTACATATTTACTGCTAGGTGATCAGAGACATCAGGTGAAAGGAAAAGTTGCCAAAATGCTTCCGCCCTGCTACGGGGATCAAACCAGCGATCCTCTCTCTGAGCAAAGGCTAAAATTAAGGATGCATGGGAGTGAGTAACCCCTAGGGCGAGTTAGCTGCCAGAGTGCAAGACAATAGCTGCATTTTGTTTAATATAATTTTGTGAAAATTGGTTTGTTATCGTGGGAGGGTAGTTAGGCAATTATACTGTCATTCACCACTTCCAAAAAATAATCCTGCGATCTTGATATAATTTTCTGGAGATGTGAGCAGGAGGCAAGGAGGAGGAGTAAGGAGGGAGTATACTACAGTAAAGAGAGAGTATATTAGAGTAAGGAGAGACTATACTAGAGTAAGGAGAGACTATACTAGAGTAAGGAGAGACTATACTAGAGTAAGGAGAGACTGTACTAGAGTAAGAGAGACTATACTAGAGTAAGGACAGACTATACTAGAGTAAGGACAGACTATACTAGAGTAAGGAGGGAGTATACTACAGTAAAGAGAGAGTATATTAGAGTAAGGAGAGACTATACTAGAGTAAGGAGAGACTATACTAGAGTAAGGAGAGACTGTACTAGAGTAAGAGAGACTATACTAGAGTAAGGACAGACTATACTAGAGTAAGGACAGACTATACTAGTGTAAGGAGGGAGTATACTAGAGTAAAGAGAGAGTATACTAGAGTAAGAAAGTAGTTTACAAAAGTCGTTAGGTCTCCTGACATCATTATTCCCAGATCCTTTACATGTTGACCTATTATGGGCAGCAGTGATTGTGCTCTGTACCTTGTGTGTGGTTTAAGCTCTCCCTTCTGCTCCATACTTGAGTACCTGGAATTTATCGCTATAAAACATCATGTTATTTCCTGCAGACCAATTGAAAACTTTATTAATATCAGTTTGTAGTTTTTCACTGTCTTCTACACAAGTAATTTTCATGTTTGATTTTTGTGTCATCTGCGAAAGATGACACGAAGCTGTGACATATATTTTTGTCTCTGATATGAAAATAAGTAATGCAATAGTGCAAGGACTATGCCCTGAGGTACAGACTGTGTTTGGACTCGATTTTATTTCATTGACTTATTTTTTGCGTTCTGTTGAACAGAAAATTTATATCCACCGCCCTACTTTACCTGTTGTTATTGCTAGTAACTCAGGAGTCATATTTATCAAATGCCTTTACAAAGTCCGTGTGTACCACGTCTGTATTCTGCTTTACTAATACTGCCTGAGTGATTCTGTCGTAGTGGTCAAGTAGCTGTGAGAGGCATGATCTTCCTGCTATAAATCCCTATTGGCCTGGGTTGTGGAGGTCAATCGTCTCTATGAAACTGAAGATCTGTCTCCTGATCACTCTATAAAAATATTTTTATTATGTGTGACGTAAGTGTGACTGGTCTATAATTCTTAGTCAATGCTTTGCTCCCTCCCTTGTGTAGAGGGGCTATGTCTGGTGAGACGTTAAGAGCTTCTGGTGTCTCCCCAGTGTCCAAGCTCTTCCTCCACACTATACTGAGTGCTTGTGCTACTGGCACATCGCATTTGTGATCTGTAGTCACAGATAGATAAGTACTGGTAGTAGGTAAGTGCCGCCGCCACCACCACCACCACTACCAGTACCACCACTACTACCACCACCACTACCACCACCACCACTACCACCACCACCACCACCACCACCACCACCACTACCACCACCACCACCACCACCACCACCACCACCACCACCACCACCACCACCACCACTACCACCACCACCACTACCACCACCACCACTACCACCACCACCACCACTACCACCACCACCACCAACATCACCATCACCACCACCACCACCAACATCACCACCACCACAACCACCACCTCTTCTATAGAGCCACAAAGTTGACATTAACAATTAGCTGAAAGCATGGGGACACAAAATCGCCTCACATATGGCAGTAAGGAAGACACTTGGAGAATATATTTGTTACAGGTGTTAGCGCTGAAGCGTGAGGTCCGGGGCAGCTGCTCCAGCTCTCATACCCAAGTGTTAATTGAGTACCAACAATGGTACCAACTATAGAGGTGTGAAGAGTGCCCTCTTGCTTGCTGCAATGGTCACACTTAAGACGCCACGCGCATATATTGTGCCTCACACAGGTGTATTCTTGCTGCTATGTCGCTAGGGTCTGGAGGTGCCCTTAATAACTCTACAAAAGATAATATTCCTTAATAACCCTCCAGAGGTTGATAGGCCTTAATAACCCTCCAGAGGTTGAT